CATGTATGTTAAAGATTCCGAAAACATTTCACAGTAGTAATTATCAGTATCCTGTGTACTAAAATTCCGTACAGCCAAATTAAGTAGACTTATTTAATAACACTTAATTTTAAGATCTGATTTCCCTAATAAACGAAAATCCAATCTGAAACACACACATCATTCTACCGAGTACAAAATAAAAAATGGTAAGCATTTTATTGTAATTTTTTATATGCAAGTTTACATTTAATGGTCACCACCATGAATTTCAAAAACATAAACGCGCACAACCGTTGTTTCGAGGAAAACACGTTTAAACATTTCACGTGCGCTTAATATTTTGAAACCAAGTCTGATGTGTACACCGCATGACTTCCTTGTACGGAATAGTAAATTATACGAATTTTTGCTGCATTTCATTTAAACATATTTCCTCCAATTTCATTAAAGATATATTTCTCATTCAATTAATTCCCATTTTCATTCACTTCGCAGCAAAGCAAAGATACATAAAAACTCAAAGTATTTTCATTAAAAATCGAAAGGTATAGAAAAGTATAAAATGCCAACTACAGTTAAAACAAGTAAAAAGCAAGTTTTGCAATTAAAAATGGAGTTTCTGCGCGAAAAAAAGCAATTTGGCCAGCGGGGAAGAAGGCAGATTTTTCGGTGCACAGAACTGAAATTTTACTCTTGGTCCCATTTGGCAAAAAGACACCGAAGTTGCAGAAAATAACTTAATTCTCTATTCTGCTAAGTTCAAATATAAACAAATGTGATTGCTATGGCAAAAAAAAAAAAAAAAAAAAAAAAAAGTTAGGCTTAGATGCACTGAAACAACTTTTAATTGCTCATAATTCTACAACTATTGCATATAGATTAACAAAAGCATAAAACCTATAACCTGAACATAAGAAACACATAATTCAATATATTTAAAGCACAAAAATAAGCAATTTACTGACATATAAGAATAAAATGCTTATCAACCACGTAATAGGGAGGAAATATATATATATATGCACTATTAATCGATTGCAACGAAAACGAGAGGTATACACGTACATGTTATACCTGTCCCATACACAAAATTTGGACATTCTATGTCTTCTTGTTCATGAGTTATGCGAGATACATACATACGTACGTAGAAATGTCAAGAAACAATATCTCTTGTTAATTCATTTTAAATCCATTTTCCAATCCATTTTTGGCAAAGGCAATCTTTTATTTTAACCGTGCGCACAGATGTCTTGCAAAAACATCGTCCAAATGGTTTTGAGAGCGGTTGAAATATGATACCCGAAATTTTTCCTATTGCAATACTTCCTTTACTTCTTACGAGGACATAAAAAATACCTTGTAAACGTGTATCTTTTCGACATTTCTTAGAACTCTAGAAAATACATTATGATATTCTGTTTTATTAAATTTTCTTTTAAAGAAGTGTATTGCTTTTGAACATTTCTATTATCAGACATTATTAGGGCCAGGCAGTCTCTAAAGGAAAGCATTTTAACTCCTATAAATCTTGGCGAAACTAATAATGCCTTGTTTTAACGAGGGCATTTCCAAGCGTACTACAAACACATAACGCATAATTATTCAAGAGAATGAGTAATTGGAACCGGAGTTAACTTCAATAAAGGTTCTCTTGTGAATTCAAAATATGTCAGCCTATGCGAACATCGCCATTTTAAAGCAATATTTCTTGACGTTGGCAGATGTATTGTTCAGCTGCACCAGCATGTGCTATATAGTCGACCTAAGCTTCGACAACCCATTAATCCGAAACCGTTCTCGACAACCGTAATTCGTCCAATTTGTAACAATGCTCTCCTCTCTAATCGGAACGGAAGGCAACTACAAGGGATACTCTAAGTCAGCAACTTTGTAATTCCTGAAAAGCGGATGAACCAACGGATTGCTAAATTAATTGTTCTACTTCCATTCTACTGAGCATTGAAAGAGATAATGGGGCTGAATGAGACGAAACAGAAGAGCGCAACTGTCTACTAAGCGCAGTGTTTAGGCTTTTCATAACGATGTATATTGTATCTTAACAGCAATGTTGTTAAGAGGAAGAACGGATCCATACCGGAATGGATTTCCTGAGGGCAATAAAAATAGCTGTAATTTCTAATGTTTCACTTGAGCTCATTCACAGAATGGCAGGGGAACTATTTCGTTAATTGCGAATTTTATTATATTAAATACGGAGATGGAATTTTAAAAACAAAATTATTGTTCACTTTAGGGTTAACAGACGTCCACGATTGTACAGAACACACTTGGATCCTTAATTATGTCCAGCACTGTTTCCTTGATAAAAAAAAAATAAATAAAATAAATAAATAAATAAATTAAAAAAAAATCTGAAATGTTTCAGATTTTAAATTACGTCAAAAGGGGCGTTTTTTAACATTTTGTGTGTTACCTTTCTTTATTAAATATCATGTTCCTCGCACTTAAACCATAAGATCCAGTGCAACAGCAATATCGCAAAATAGTTTTAAAACGAGCATATCTTTAGAATTTCCGATACAGAGACTCACGCGCTGGAGATAAAAATGTTTTTTCTGCACAACGTTGCCATTGCTCGCTTTGAAATCCTTGAGTTTGTTAATCAAAAATTCGTCAAAGTTTTAAAAAATAGGAAATCGATCATAAAAACAAATTTCAAATTTCAAAAAATTGGTCTTCCACATGCTCATATTCGTTGGAGGATTACGTTATTCAAAATTCGATGACTCTATGTGCCGTTGTTTTATCACAATACGAGAAATATACATACATTTATGCAGATTTTTCATTATTTAATTTCTTCAAATATAATGCAGGACTCAAATATAACATTTTGTGGCAACAGTTTGAAAAGTGAACCGACATTTATGAGTCCGACGCAAAATGCCAAAACGAAACTAATAGTCCTTCGGGATTCAAATCCCTTTGGACTAAAAATCCTGGTTGTTTAAATGAGTGGGTGAAAAATCCGAAAATGGACTTATTAATTTATAGAAGAGCAAAGATCCACTGAAATTTTAATAATGATTTTTACTGGACTGTAAGTGTTTTAGAATAAAATTACACAACTTCTTTAACACAGTTTCGCGTTATCTACAGCTTTTATTCTTGATCTGTTGAAGAATGCAAGCAATTTTTAAGTATTCTCAGTATTTTTGATGTTCAAATTCTTTGCTTTTACCTTTGCTTTTTTTCCTATAGTTAAATTTTCATTTGTAGCATTAATTTAAATTCGTAATATTGTAATATTCGTAACTCGGAAATTTATTTTCCCCCAAATATCCTGGATTAGCTTTTATCTCTGGATGTTTCGTCTGCAGCATTAACTTAAAAATCTTAATATTTCTCAAAATTTTTTTTAACTCTAGAACTATTGTTCTCCAAAATATCCTGGAGAAGCTTTTATTTCTGAATGTTAAATTTTCATCTGTAGCATTAACTTATAAATCTTAATATTTCTCAATTCTCTTTTAGCTCTAAAACTAATTAATTCTCTTTTAACTCTAAAACTTATTTTTTCCAAAATATCCTGGATTAGCTTTTATTTCTGCATGTTAGATTCCCGTCTGTAGCATTAATTTTAAAATCCTAATATTTTCTCAACTCGGAAATTAAATTTTTCAAAATTATCCTGAATTAACTTTTTTAAAAAGAAAATTGTAACCCTATGTCAATAAGCAGGAAATGAAAAAATGCGATGTTATTTTTAGAAGTGTGTGTGCTGCGCTCAGTTTTCGTTATTATAAATAAAAGTATTTGCATCGTTTGACCGGTAAAACTTAGACGAAGTAGGCCGACAATAAGGATGACTCCAAATTACGGGAGAAAAAACGGGAAAAAAACTTTATCTCCAGCGAGCGAGACTGTGTATTGGAAATTCTAAAGATACGCTCATTTTAAAATTAATTTCCGATATTGCCGTTGAAGTGAATTTTATGTTTTAAGTGTGAAGAACATGCTATTTAATAAATAGAGATAACACACAAAACGTTAAAAAAGTCCCTTTGGGCGTAATGTAAAATCTGAAAACATTCAGATTTGTTTATTTTAAATTTTGATGTTTTTTTTTAATCTAATGGCTGGCATTTGCCTATTCGACTTTGGCCACTTCTAAGGACAGTAGTGGTGGCCATTTTATTGTAGAGCCACGTAATAGGTGGCCACCATAACCTCCTATAAAGGGACGAGCAGTACAAGCATGCCCTCTGCAGGATTCCAATGCGTACCCTTTGGTACCGCAGGAAGCTACCCTAAACACTACACCGTCTGGGCGGCTTAGCGTTTTCATGGTTAAATTAGAAAATTATTCATGCTATGCAATATAAACTAGATTTTTTTAATCTTCTTTGAAATTAGCATGATTATTTATCAATAATTAGTTATCAGAAAATGAAATATTTATATAATTTTTTAATGGAACTAAAATCCATGAAAGCAGTCTAAAAAGTCTTCAAAAAATGAAAATGAAAACTTTGAAAGTTCATAAACTAAGCTGCAATTTACTTAAAATATTAAGTCGTACCCAAAACATCATAAATAAAATTTTAAATCTGACTTGAAAAGCGTTTCAGATTGAACTTCAGAGATATTACGAGACTTTGATCACCGTTACATGATGAAAAGGTATCATTAAGATAAAAAATCCTGGATGACGTTAAGTAAAATATACATTAGTTATATTCAGAAGACGATAACGTAAAATGAAGGAGCGTCCACAACTTCTATTGTATTGTTATAGTGCATTATTATGTGTGGCAAATTATAATAATTATTGGTATCATGAATTACTGTGATGATTTATCAAAAGTTATGGAAACGCAACAGGCGTAATATATACACTTTTCGTTTTAGTAAATTACTTTATTTTTTCTAACAGCTTATGCTGCCTTTTATTTTATAATGCATCTTGAGTAGAGCACAAATGCAAATTATGCATCTTGAACAGAAAGATATTACGCATTTTGATTGACTTCACCTGGTAATTTTACTTTCAGAATACACACAATCGAAGACAACGCATTTATGGATCTGATATCCTTAGAATGGCTATACTTACAGTCTAATCAGCTAACATCTGCACCGTATGAAACTTACAGATCTGTACTCAACACACTTCAGATACTTGATCTTCATGGTAAGTGACTTAATCTTTATTGAAATTTTTGCCAAGTCACAAACTAAAATGATTAATTATGAAAATACTTTAAGATATTAAGAATCATGTATAGCTTTTAATTTTATGTTGAAATATATAGATTTTGTGCATTAATATTGGTGTATTAATCTGGATGACTGTCTCCGAGCTGTTATTAATTTGGCACTTTCATCGCGGCGATGGCGCACTTTTGTCCCATCCTCTGCGCTAAGAGTCTGCGCCGCAGTACTAGAATGTGAACAAAACACAAATTTCTTTAAAACTTTGTTTATTTTACTTTGAAAAGTAATAATCAATTGGAATCAATTACAATTCTCACTATAATGATTTATTTGTGTTTACAGACATAAAAATAATAATAATAAAAAAATTAAAATAATAATAAAATAAAAAATAAAAATCCAAAATATTGTATTAATTATAATCACTCTGAACTGTGAAAATTTTCAAAACAAAGTACTGCACATAATGATGGCTTGTGCATGGCTTGCACAGATAACGAATCTCTCGTCGAATTTTGTGTGTCCTACGTTCGTTACTTGAGGTTGCTGTTATTATGTCCAAGTAATGTTGTTCATCCATGCGCGACATATCGGAGGATTTCTGAGAGAGAACGAGAAACGTAATAAAAGAAAGGCTAGAAACGTAATATAAGTAAAGAAAAAACGAGAAACATAATAAAAGATAGAAAGGAGAAACGCAGTAAAAGTAAGAAGAGAGAAACGTAATAAAGAAAAAAGAAAAAGAAAAACGTAATAAGAGAAACGTAACAAAAGTGAAAGATAAAGCGAAAGAGAATCTAGGAGAAGTGAAAGAGAAAGAGAAAAAGTGGAAGAAAAACCCAAGAGAAAGAGAACGTACGAGAAACGTAATAAAAGTGAAAGCACTACAAATTGTGCTCCTGGCGCCATGTCGTAGAAATGTTGTAAAGACAAAATATTAGAGTCTTCTATACCCTAAAAGTCATGGGACACGCTGCAATACTACAGAATAACCTTGAGTAAAGGACGAGTTATCTCGCTTTTCGCGCACAGCAATAATTCCTGGAGGGCGAGCTATCTCGTAACCTCAAGATGAAAGTGTTGAGTACACGGCTTACGTAGTTTCTTTAATCTCGAATATCTTAAGAAGAATAATTATATGGCCCTTTCAAGCCTCTGCATTCATAAACTGTGAAATGAATGCTATGGATGTTTTGATTTGTATATCAAAATCATTACTAAATACAATTAAACAGTGTGCTGAAATGTACCAACACACTGTTTAGTTATTGTATTGTTGTGTAGATAATTTGTCTGATAGCGTTATAAAAACTAGGTGAATGATTTTCTGATTTATGGAAATCTTAATTTTATTTGATTCTGAATTATTTATTTTAAGGCTTTAATTTTGGGGAAAAACAGATGCTTCTGGGAATTTATATTTAGTTTAAAGAATATTTTTTTTCTTTTATTTGCAAATTTTTGTACAAGCTTTGATTCATTGTTGAAAAGAAGCAGGAAAGGGAAGCAATTTTTGCTAAGTCATGATTTCGCGCGCTTTGTCCTTTAGAATGTTCTAGAAGGAATTTCATTGTGTAGTTGACCTTAAGAGGAAGTACGTGACAGAAAGGTCCAAAGGTTGCTACTTGACTTTCGATGTAAGTCATTCAGGTTTTTGGCGATTTGAGGTCCGGTTGTTGGCTAAGTGAAAAGGGCGCGCATGCGCAATCAACCCTTATTCCGCATTCAGGGGTTGAAAACGCAAATTTTGCCAAAATTAAGGGGGCGATAATTGAAGCCATAGTGGGAGCCCGTTTTTTGTGAAGGAGACGAAGGAAATTCGAGTTGGAATCACTCACTGGCTGGGCTGAACTTACTTGTGGACGTTACTCTTGAAAACCTGGCTTGAAAGCGATAGACAAGATGTAATTTACGAAGAGAGAGGTTTCCCGGCGGGGAGCGGCAAATATGCTCCTCGGCCTCGTTTTGGTTAAGAGGCGAGACTTACTGACTTGACTTGATGAACTTACTTTTGGAGGTTACTCTTGAAACTCGCTTGAAAAAGATGTAATTTACGAAAAGAGATGCTCCCCTGTCGCGTTCTGGTTAAAAGCCGAAATTGAACCGGGCGAGTGACTTGAGAACTTTCAAGACCAAGGCGGATAGCCGTGCTGGGCAGCAGTGCTCCTGTTTCTGTTTTCCAGAGTTAAAATAGCTTCGTCATTATGAAAACCAGTTACCTGCGTGTTGACTTAAGACTTTCAAGACCAAGCGGATAGCCGTGCTGGGCAGCAGTGCTCCTGTTTCTGTTTTCCAGAGTAAAAATAGCTTCGTCGTTATGAAAACCAGTTACCTGCGTGTGTGTTTTCGCCAATAGTGCCAGGACAGGACGATGTCTTCTGAAACTTCCATTTGTGACCGTAAAGATGAGCCCCGCCGACGTCAACGCTTATTAGGATACGAGTCCTCCATTTCGAGACGTTCTGACCAGATAAGTCTATTTTTTGTGTTTGAACTTTAAGTAAGGTTTCAACGATTTCCTTGGAATGTAAAATAACAACGTCGAATCTTAATTTAATTCTCAGGCTTTCAATTGTTTCCCTTTCCCCTTTTAAATTACCAAGACAAACCTTAAAGTTTTTTATATGAATTTAAATGTAAAAAAAAAAAGTAAATGACAAATTGAAGAATTCCCATTAGACTCTCTGATGAGGATAAGATTTTATTTTATTGTGATGAAATTGAATAAACTGATATTTAATCTGGAAACCTATTACAGTATGTTTCTTTATATATTTAATATGTTTTTCCTATATAACTTGTATATGTTTTCTTATGTTTACGATCCTCTCACGGCGCGGTCCCGGGATGCAATTTTTACAACGTAATGCATTAAAAATTCACTATACGATCACTAAAAGTTTGGTAATTAGCAAAAATTCTTAAGAGTTTAGTTTCCTCCCTAAGAGGAAGTAGAAACCTTTCACGGCAAGTAGTTTCTTATTTAACAATGGTGCCGTGAAGTAATATTTAACAGTATTCTAGTAATCTTTTAACTTTAAAGTATACTACAACATAACGCTTCAAAGATTATTAATGTAAGACATATTATTTTGTTTTTCCTTCCTGCAGTGTCCTTTGAAGATATATGGATATTAGTACATTTAATATCAAATCTCTGAATGACGATGGCAAAATTTGTATTGGATATATGAATGGACAAAAGCGATTCTCCTGTAGTAAAGCGACGGGCGCATAAAGTAGCTTGGAAAATTATTGTAGATGAAACTGATGAGCTTCAGCTAGCTCGCCAAGAATATCAAAGAAAACCTTCACTCTCAATAGAAGAATCATAAAGGAGTCCAAATTAAATTTCAGCTATTTTTTTCACCTATGTTTGAATAGGTTAATTGACAAGATTCGAAAGTGCGATCAGTTTTGTTGTGGAAAAATAAGTGATGCCCTTTTTTCAGATGCATTTTGCAAGTGATTTTTTTTTGCTAGTGTACATTTTCCGGAGCGTTTTTTTTTTCAATAGCACTGCTAAACATAATTGCATATCAAATGACTATTAAGGAGATAATACGTGCTATTCCAACATTAAGAACATACTTGTATTTTCCTACAAACTAATGAGTAACAGAGTTGTCCGTATGAATTTTACTAATTATCTAAAGAATCAAATAATATTAATAAGAAAAGAGAGATTAATAAATATATACAAAATCAATTAACATTGAGAAGCTAAAATATTGAGAGCTATTTTTTTAAAAATTACTTCTGCGAGTTTTACGAAACTTGCCACTTTGGCAAAATTTGAGTCGTAGTATCAAAACATGGAAACAAATTGACATGTCGTTTCAGAAAAAATCCGACTTTGTGTCAAAATATGTATATTAGAACAATGCTGTATATAAATCTAATACATATCCTAAGTTGCGCTTTCGAGACATGAAAAACGAAAGTTGAATTTCGTCAATCGGCTAAGTAGAACGGGAGATATAGAATAGTCAATTTTTTTTTTTGCAGTGTACATCTATTAACATCGTATAAAGACATTTACGCAATATTGATATATAATATGTAATTAATTATAATAACATAACTTAAAAGAGATAAAATGAAAAAAAAATAACGTAAAATAAATAAACAACAAAAACGTACGGAGAAAATGGGTAACTTAGGCTCATATTTCCAGATAAAAAAACTGCAATCTGTAGTAATAACATCGGATTTCGGCACGAAAAGAGTGTTCAGACGGTTTATTTTGTTTATTTTTGAAGAATACTCTTATTCTGAATGAATAAATAAAACATTAAAAATGTTTTACGTTAGAAAACGTTTCTTAATTAAAATACAAAGATGTTATAATTAGGCAACGGTTTAACGCATTATTTCTGTCCTATGTTTTTTCCGCTATAGAAAAGATTAGAATAAATCTAAAATTATTTTTTTACTGAGAGCAAGAACTTTATCTAATATCTAATTAGTTGGACGCTAATGGGTATTTGAGGTTAATTTTCATGTTAAATAAATTTTCTTAAAGGAACGGAAATTAGGCTAATTTAACCTTGACTAAGAATGTTAAAATTTCATTAAAGGAAAATTGCTTGTAAATTATGTTATTAAAAGACTGTGTGTATAATTATTTTCTTATGTTCTCTTTTTTTGCTTTTATAAAATAAGTCTTGGTCTTTTGTTATCTGAAACGTTTGTTATATTTATTATAAATGCCGTACAATACTAACAACATTATACAGTTTGAAGATTTAAATAGCACATATAAAGATTTAACTATTGCGAATTTTCTAAATATTACGTTATAGATTTTAAAAGATGCCTTTCTTCTCTTTTATTTACAATTTTTTTTGGGGGAGTAACCTATTAAAATTAAAATTTATATATTTCACAATACCACTTCCAAGATTTTCAATTTATTACTTTTCTACACATTTCTTACTTTGTTTATACAAATGGAAGGTTGTTGCATTTTAAAGC